TGCTCAAAACCTCTGTTGTGTTCATTGATTCAATGATTTCGACTAACTAATAACAGTAAGCTTAATGCTTAATGATTAGCAGAAATGCAAGCTGCTGTTTAAGCAATAATTGCAGTAGGCACAATCTTCGTAGGATTCCTTGTTGGATCAGAAAAGTTAGCAATCAAATAAACAGTCCAAAGCAGCCGGCCTGGTGTGACCACAGTCAGTATTTCCGTGGTCCGTCGCAGATGTAAGCAAATGGTATATGCGACGCTGTGGTGAATACCCGCAATATCTGGAGCTTTTATTAAAGCATGAAATTAATGGCCGCGCACTACTACATATCAAGGATTATGCATTGCAAAGAATTAGCATAAGCCATAGTGGTGATCATGAAGCAATTTTCCGTAAGATATTAACACAACGACTCAAAACTAATCTTATGGAAATGCGTGATATGTAACGTGAAATAAATGCTTATGGTTTGTATAAACCATCCAATTATATTCAGAATACACTAGGTTTTAGAGAATTATATAAAATTCGCAGAAAAACATCCAAATATATAAGATTTTAAGACAAAAAAAGTTTTTGATTCAACACACACACATATGTGAAAAGCAGTTAACTTTACTGCGCATACGAATGCACACTAGTTTTCTAAAAACAAAAAAAATAATAAGTAATATAAAAAATATACATGCAAGAATATACGTATACCCATAATCTAATCATATAATATATAAAGTAGTTGTGTAGATTAGCTGCCCTAATAAACTAAAACTTTTAAATGTAAGTCAAAATAATTAAAAAGGTGTACGAATTGTATATGTGAGTCAAAGTTTCTCTAGCAAACTCGGATATTAATTTAAAATCGTTATAAATGATTAAAGCTTAGATGATTCTGTTATGAAAATCTTATCTGAATTTATACTCAATTTGTATTTTAAATATTTTAATTTTTTCGAATGTTATTTTAAATATTAATACGATGCGAAGATACGATCTAACAGTACCCAGATTTTGAAAAAACCTTTGTACTTACCACGGACGCATCTGATTTTGCCCTTGACTTGACTTCACTTACCAATTGCATATGCAAGTTAAGCTTTGCAAACACATCATTTAAACAAACCAATAATAGAAAAAGGGTTATTGGGAATTCATTAGGGAAATTTATAGTTTTGACCGACCACATACCATGAGTATCACTATTTTCACACAAAAATCAGTCATCAAATGACAAGAATAAGAGTAAATTTAGCAGACTTTGACTTTGCAAAGGAAAAATAAATACAAATGCAGATCCACTTTCACGCATCAAATTAGATATCAAGATTTTAAGAGCTGTGATACCCACGAAAGAAAAAGAAATAAAAGAAGAAAACAATGATATAAAAGAAGAAAACCATATTAACATTTTAACAAGGAGCAAGGCAGCACAAAATAATAATGAAAGAACACTTGCAATTATTAACCCGGGAACGCATTAAAAACCTACATCTCGTAAGAAGCCTGGTCAACATCATTTTTGGGAACGTACATTAAAATCATACAGAGGTACAGAATTTGTAAATGAGCTAATGCATAACATATGTGAACTTCTAAACACGAAGTAAATATTTTCATTTCTATATCATCACCAAACGAAAGGAGCTTTTGAACAAAATCATAGGACATTAAATGAATATCTACTTTCCTTCGCACAAGATTATGAATGGGACAAATGGATTCCATCATATTACACTTTTGCATACGTCACAACTCCACATATAGATACAATTTACTCCCCGTTTGAATTAATATTTTCCAAATTACCAACATTGCCCAGTAATACTACAAATACAAGAAGTATCAATTACAGCATTAAAACTATGTTACAGAAATAAAATTGAGATTAAAGAAATCTATCAAAAATGCCGAAAAATTGATAAACGCAACATAAATCAAAAGAATAGAAATCTATGACAAAATTGTAAGCAAATCAAATTTCAAAATAGGAGATTCGGGATATGTAAAAACTGAAAAGAAAGAAAAATCAGAGCCCATATTATGGCCCATATATTATTGTAGACACTAATGGAGTCAACTTCACTTTAAATATAAAAAATATGCTAAAAGTAATGCATAATAATCAATTAAAGAAATATTTAGGAATTTAGTAACGTAAACACTATAAATAAGTGTATATATTTTTAACATGTAACTTATAAAATATCATAACATTAGCTAATAAGTATACAAAACTATATGTAAACAGACAAAACCATAAGCCTAATAAAAGCAAGGGTCATATTACACACCACTTCAATGTCCACGTAAAAGGCAATGTCAACAAACATATGGTCGTGGAGCGGAATCACGATATTGAGTTGTGATGAGAATTTAATATAAATAGACCGTAGAAACTTCAATAAGGTTACCAATATACCAATCTTTTACATGGCGATCCTGCCAAATCATCAACATTAATCCTTTACACCCGTCAACAAAGACAAGGAAGGTTCGACTTTGAAAAGCTGCAATAACAACAGACTGCCGAGTGGCTTTCTGCTCGACTTGCACACCTGCTCTCTGAGAGCACTCATCAGCAATCCCTGCGGGTTAGGGGCTCAAGAATTTACCCGTGGTAAGGCATGCCTGTCGTAAGGGGCGACTAAAATCCAATAGTTCCCGCAACAGTCGGGTCTTTATTTCGGAACGACCCGGATTTTTATCCGGCCAAGGACTGTCACTCCCGCAATATTCCCCGAAAACCAATTCGGGGAATAATTTGCGGTTACAACAACAACAGCAATCCAGTAAAAGGGAACTGTGGGACGGCATTTCAAACTCCCTACGTATACCTGCAACTTTTGGATTTCGAAAATATCGCAAAAACAGCTGGTAAGACGAGGACTGCCGTGTTGCAGTGGAGAGAAAACAGACTGCCTACGTCGCAAACTTGCGATCGACTACAACCCGTGCGGAGTGCGCTAGATACCGAGATCTGAAGAAAGAAGCACGAGAAGGTTGACAAGCTGGCCGAAAAGGGTTACGCTCGAAAAATCTATGAAAAGCAATTTAAGTGTGCTCTGCCCAATCCATAAAAAAAATTATAAACTAAAGTCTGCGCCAATTATCGTTTGATAAGCTTTCTTAACATCGGCTATAAGGTCCTATCAAGCGTATTGTGTGAAAGAATAAAGCTTGGATCTTATCAGTGTGGCTTTAGATTTGGTAAGTCAACCATTGACCAGATTTTCAACATGTGCCAATCTAGAAAAAGACCCGTGAAAAGAGGATCGACACTCACACCCTCTTCGTCGATTTAAAGGCCGCCTTCGACAGCACGAATAGGAGCTGCATTTACGCCGCTATGCTAGGTGCTACTTTGGACTGAGTAAGCAATTGAACTCTCTCTCGGCGAACGGAAACCAAACTCTACATTCCTTCATCGTTCCAATCCTACTATTTGGCGCGGAAGGATGATAAATCGGTTCTAAGAGTCTTCATGAGAAAGGTTTTGCGTAAAATGTATGGTCTTTTGCGCATTGGCAACGGCGAATATCACAGGCGATGGAACGATGAGCCGTACGAATTATGCGGCGATATTGATATAGTTTAACTAATCAAGAAGTAGCGGCTACGCTAGCGAATACTCTAGCTTTGAAGAGGAAGACCTCCACTCCGCTGGAAAGACCAGGTAGAGAAGGACCTGGCTGTACTTCGTATTCCCAAACGCCAAACAGCAAAAAGTAGAAACGAATGGCGCAATGTTGTTAGATCGGCCAAAATCGCCCGGCCAGACACATCTTTTGTCACACATCTTTTTTACCAGTTATAAAGTCACGCTCGTGGGCTTTAGTCTTTTCAAACCGTACCTCATATGCGATATATAAGTGGTTAAACCCAAGGTATTTGACCCAGACAATGGGGTCCCCTTTTTTATGCGTTCCGTGGAGCATACCAAAATTTTTATAACTTTTGTCAGCTCTTTGCTATTACGTCTGAACAGCTCAGTCGGTAGACCGTCGATCCAGCTTTTTTGTTGTTTCTTAAACGGGCACCGCTATTCGCACCTCGACTCCGGGTGTTGCACTTTCGTTGACATTCAAACAGGCTGGAGAAGTTTTCCATCCATACATCAAGCATCGGTCACCATATAACCACCTTATTTCCTACATAAGTATACTCCCGTCTTTAAACTGTTTTATGAGTCGCCGGTTCTTTTCATAGAATTTTATAGCATCAAGCTAATTGGCCAACTTCTCAAGATCTATTCATTTAGCTGCTTAAACCACATATAAAATAATTATTTCTGGCTTCTCCCAGGTGAATGGCAGTTAAAAACTTTTCTCACTGGCGTGAACTTCTACACATGCAGGTACAAAATCCCACATATAGATGCATTAAGTAGCACTGAACTCGATTATACAAGCATAATTAAACCAATAAAAAGCAAGAACACAGAATATTTAGAAACCGAAATTATGAAGATCTCCGGAATGGAAATTGGGTTGGTATTTAAAAAAAATAATAGCACATTGCACAATGCTGGCAACATACATTTGGCCGGCCGCTTGTATACGTTACTGCTCTGATCTAGACACCGGGGACCAGCGAGACGCAGATGAAAAAGCTACAATGCTGCCAAAATCACGCGTATAGGACGGTGAAAAGACTTTGGTGTCGGGGTTTAGTTTTTACCGGCACTTTTGTTTTGAGTAAATATTCTTAGTAAAATACTCGGTTGTTAATATACGATTGAACATGTTCCTTTTTTTTTAATGCTATGTATGTATATATATGTTATTTCGAACCGATTTTTTTACATGCCACTTATTTTTGATTAAAGAGAAAATTAACGCTACGGTGCCTTAGGTTAGTGTCGTTTCACTTGAATAATATCAATATGTTCACACTATAATTGTCCTTAACTTTTGAACTTAGGGAATAATAGTACAATATATATTTACAACTTTATACAATCTGGTACAGTATACAATTACACATAAGAATATTGAGTATTCACTCACCTGTAATTGATTTTGAAGCATACCAATTTTTGTCTAACTCATCCTTCCTTATTTCTGTACTATCACACTGTTTAGCCATCATATGTTGAAAACGTAAGCGGCTGGTAGAATTATCATTTAATTCTCGCTGCAGAGAGATTTTCATATTTACTGAAGATATCTTTGATATAGGATATACGTTACTACTGACCCCGGCGTCATTGAGTGGATTTTGCATTTCAGATGAATCCTTTCTTGCGTGGCAGCAATTTATACCAAAAATTTGAGCAATTTTCGTATTTGGCTGATGCTGCGAGCATGACTCAGTTTTGCTAATCAGATTTTCAGTGCTATTTTTTATCATATTAACTCCATTAACTGTATAATTAACGGCATCCGTTGTACTTCCGTTTGGGATTTTATCTACAGAATCGGCAATGTCCGCAGGTATAACTCTTAGAGTGTTAAAACGAGTATCTGAATTGGTTTCCGTAGTTGCATCTCCAACCAAAATTTTTTGTCTTTCTATTGGTTGATGGTTAAGTGTTTGTGAAATATTATTGTTAACTTGTGAATTCGTATGTTTTAGATGCGATTTTTCATGAGTGCCAACCATTTCATTGCAATAACCGCTAGAACTTATTGTAAAGTTGTTATTGCCGCTGAGATTTATTACAAAATTAAGGAAATAACACTCCGAGCATTTAATATTATTTGGTGCAGTGGAATATTTAGCTTTTACTGACAACAAACTGCAAACATTATTACTGCTGAGATCATGTGTTGTTAGTAGTAGGAGTATTTGTAACGACAAATATTTTGGATTAGAACTTAGCACTTCTTCAATACTACTTTCCTCGTTCTTGGTTTTGAGGTTGTAGTTAGTGGTGAATCATAGATACACAGTTTACACTTTTAGAATTTGATACTCAGACGTAGAACGAAGTAATTCTTTATCAAAAGTGGGCAAATCTTTGCTATTTTCATAACAGTATGTTGTGCTGGTTTTTATTGACTGATAATTTATTACATTCTTTTTGGACTTGTTGCGGCAATGACATTACTATTGATTCATAATGACCTGCAGAGTAATGTATTGACATATTTTATGTTGATTTTTTCTCTGTACTGCCATACCGTTCGTAATGATCTTCAAACTCATGTGGAAGAATTTGTGGAAATTCAGGTGTGAGCTTATTATTATTACATCGTTTGATATCAACATTATCTTGATCACTGTGATTACCAAGCATGCTGTACCAATAAAGCTGACGATTTTGTTTTTGGAACATACACAAAAAAAAGGGATGTATTCCCGATAGATAACAGGGCCACAGTCTCTCTGTTTCACATCCTGCACTTTGTAACAGGGGAAATTATTTGATTCCGAGACGAGTGTAGAAGTGTAAGTTTGTTCGTGGTAGACGTTTACCGCTGCTTACAAATGTTCTTTAATTAATTCCGAACATGATAATCTTTCATCAGGCTTCAGTAAGTAATTACCTGCATACTTCGTATTTGAATAGATATTTTGGTTTTGTTCAACTTATAGTTTTTTTTACTATGGACAGCTCCTTTTTCTTAAACGAGCAATAATGAGACTTTAGTCAATTCAATTTAGGAAAAATGATAGATTTCTGATTTATAACGTTATCCAAATTTGAAGATGGTGGAGTCTTAGCTGTAAGTGGTAAAATTTTTCTTCTTGGCTGAAAGAAACCTGGAAACAACTTTGTCAAAGAGCCAAAAATTTCGCAATTTTAGCCTTAGAATGGTTTACTTCTGGAGAATAAGGGACAACATTTTTTTGCCATTGGGACCCTTACTTTGTTAATATTACCTTTTTGAAACTTGGTCCGATTTTGTGAATATTTACTTCCCTACAAACCAAAAAACTGCATTCTTTAGCGTGTTGAATATAATTGGATAACTTTTTACTTCACGTTTTCTCTATAATAGACTATTGAATTAGATAATTATACGAATGAGAATATTTCACCAGCTCACTATGTTTGTATTCATATCCAGATAACGTTAAAATCATATAGTTTATCTGAGTCTCTTTTACTCAGATCACTTGGTTTTCACATGAACCCATTGATCCTGTTCCAACTATACATGTCGACTTGTCTTGATAGGTGTGCACTAAAACAAAAAAAAAATAAATATTAGGACAATAAAAAAAAGCATAAGAATCAAACGATTTAAAAATACAAAGTGTAAGTGGTCCCAAACCATTTTATTGGAACTTAGTCGACCCATGAATTAAAGAATAGAAGGGATATTTGATATTTTTTCAACAAATGAACCGACAGTTTATTACCTGATGATCTAAACGGGGATAGGGTGACAACCTCTAGCCAGTGCGTAGAACCGGCTGTAAAACCAACTCATATATTCCTCTTCCTTTCTTTCCCTGAGCATGTCGAAACAGCCCGTTTGCTGGACCTTGCTTTAGATGACCCTAATGACTCAGATTAGTCTCGCTTCAACATACAAAAAATTTTTTATCTCAGACATATATTCCGAAGTACTGACCGCTATTGGCCCGGCCCTGGGTTACGGTCCAAAACGAGTCCGAAAGCCGTTAATTTACACCAAACTCTAGTTCCTACACTGGAATATAAAAAACCTATTCTGCACTGGGCTTTGACTGCCCTTAAGCCAGTCAGGCATTAAAACTTTCACTATTTTGCCTCACCTGGCCACTATAATATTTATAAAAAAAAAATATCACAAATTTTTTTTCTTGTTTTTTTTTTTTTTTTGAAAGCAAATCACATGCTTGAGTAAAAAAAAGTTCGCATTTTCGTAGATCGCAAGAATCCGATCCGGCACGCACTTACGAGCCTGGCCGCAAGCTACGCGTCGGCCTTTAAAATTCTCCTGCGAGTGTGTATTGGTACCCAGTCATTTGGCGCCGCCCCCATTACCCAAACGGACGGGGTTGTATAGCGCACGCCACCATGGCACACCAAGTACACTGGGATAATTTTCTCCTCGCCGCATTAAGGAAAGAGGCGACACCCCTTTTTACGGAATTCCCGTGCAAAGCATTCCGTTGCCCTAATATTTGTTAGTAGAGGAACTGGGAAACACCTCCTTTTGGAGACTTATACCACTGGGTAGGAACAAGCCGAAAGCAACGTGCCATCAATCTATGGCTTCAAATAATGCAACTTTTCGCCGACAGAAAGTAAGCTTAGGCAAAACGAAGGAAATGAACATACAGACAGAAAAGAAGTTTTTGTTGCGGCCAGTACGCAACAAGTTGATAAAGTAAGAAGAAAAATATTCACATCGAAATGGAAGACGGTACGCATAAAAAATTTAAAAAGTTTTTTTAATTTGTTTATTAAATCATAAATATTGGAACCGAATTGTGGAAAATATGCCTGGACAACAAAACAAGCTGACTGAAAACGTTATTTTACGAATTATAAGGGCTATTTTTTGTCTCGAAAACTTCTTACAATACGCCTGTATGCATTTTTTTCTTCATCTTCAATGAATTCCAGGCCTAAAATATGCCTACACATTCTGGCTTTTATTTGTTCTCAATTTAACAACACAAAATCAAACAGCAGATTTTTTTGTTACCTCCTAACTCGCTGGTAATAAAATTTACAGGGCGACAGTGAATTTAGAATATGAAAAAGTAACAAAATTTACTGAATGGTAAATTTTAATACCAAAGTAAGTTTTGTTACCTCGAAAGAATAGGCCTGTTAGTTGATGAAATAGTTTCTCAACTTGATGCCACCTTTCCTCTATTTTAATAAAATTTAAATGTCAGTTTGCGGTAGCTAATAGAAACTTAAGTAATGATTTTCTGACATTTAAATAATACCCGTTATTTAATTTGCCAATGGCAGAATGTATGTATGTACCACACTATATTTAAATTAATGTCTGATGTACCAACCACATTCATTACCCGTTACTTTTTGTGTTACTCGGACTGTGATTTTAAAATAACAGTGCCAGCAAACTAGCCCCGTTGTCTGAACGAATTCAGGTCCAGCTTGAAAATTTAAATTAATTTTGAATGCTGGAGGAAGTATTTCCGTAAATACGTCGTTTTCAAAATATTACTATATATTTCTTTTCAAAAATGGGCCGCGCCAAGCACTGCACTGTTGAAAAATCAGAGGTAATTAAAAAATTTATGTCGGAAGGGAAAACACACAGGTTGATTGAAGATTTGCTTGGATGTTATGCCGAACTGATTACTGATGCACAAAAGTGGATACCAAATCATGTATAGTTTATTTAAAGATATCGACTTGGTTTATTTTTATGTTATAAACCCATTTATTACTATTAGTATTCATAAGATTTCTTAGTCTTAAATATATAACTTATACTAACAAAAATAAAAAAGTAAAAATTCATATGACTTTACACAAGAAAATGTATGCGTACTATCTAAAAATTTAAGTGAAGAAGCTTTTGGTACCGTTAGATCAGAATTAACAGTGATAGAAGCACTAGAACCTTTTTGATGATCGTTGTTTTAGTGAATTCCGTCATTATTACATAGGACTTCTATCTCAGCTGCTTTTTTTGGTCAAATGATAGTTTTTCTACTTATAGGACAGTACAATGGTTTGGCTTAACCTGCCCAATGATTAACTTTCACAATAGTACCTCTTTTTTTCTTTGCAACACTTTTAGGCCCGTTTTCGCAATGTCCGATTGACTTAACTTATAAGCGGAGGATAGCTAACCGCCAGATAGGCTGATGTGGCACTTTCGTTTTCACCAAGTTCTGGTAACTTAATTTCAGGTTAGTTTTCATTCATTGTGAATATTTTAAGCTTACAAAAATATGCATTGTGAATATTTAAAAACTCTATTAAATCTGGTATTTGTTTAAATTTTTCCGTATAATTTGGTTTTCTGTTTAATAATAAATGTAAATAAAATTATAATTTAATGCAGTTTATTTGATATATTTTTATGGAGAAAAGTCCTCACTGATTTTAAATAAAGTGTACAGAATATATGTATGCAATATATTCACAAGCCGTCATAAGTCCTCATTCAAAAGCAAATTTTTGTTTTTTGAAAACTGAAAAACCATTAGCAAAATAATTCTAATTTTGCATATTTGTTATTGGTAACAGTTTGCCGTGCTGCTGGCGACACAAATCTTTTGTCGCGTCAGTCCAGTAGTGCGTGCATCAAAATTGTAGGCTCATCACCTTTCAATTTAAGTTGGAGTAGCATGCATACATAAAATTTTATTAAAAAAGCTTTTATAAACATTTTAGTGTTATTATAACCACTTTGCAAAGATTTTTACTTTTTTCTACAATTTTCCTAAAACGATACCGAAACGAAAAAAAGACATTGGCGACAGAAAAGTTATTGTAAAACTCCACCAACAGGACTATTTTGCCGAGGTAACAAAATTTACCTAGGTATTAAAATTTACCATTCAGTTAATTTTGTTACCATTTCGTATTCTGAACTCAGTGTTACCCTGTAAATTGTGTTACCAGCGAATTAGGAGGTAACAAAAAAATCTGCTGTTTGATTTTGTGTTGTTAGTTTGAGAACAAATAAAAGCCAAAATGGGTAGGCATATTTTAGGCCTGGAATTCATTGAAGATTAAGAAAAAAGTGCATTAAGGCGTATTTTAAGAAAATTTCGAGACAAAAAATAGCCCTTTTAATTTATAAAATAACGTTTTCATTCAGCTTGTTTTGTTGTCCAGGCATATTTTCCATAATTAGGTTAAAATATTTATGAGTTAATAAATAAATGTTAATATTTTTATATTCTACATATTATATATTTTTCTTTTTACTTTACCAACTGGCAAATGTAATTTGACAAGCACGAGAAAAGCAGTGCTGCCAAATTTTTTTCAAACATTGTAACCAGTTCGCCAGAATACCAAATTCAATTTCGGGTGTTATAGAAAAGTAACAAAATTTACTTTGAGTTTGTTCCTATCCATTCAGATTGGATTTTCAATTCTCGAAACTCTTTTCCACACGCTATGCATTGCAGTCGATCGCAACATTTCTTTCAATGCGTGCGTGAATCCTCATCTTACCGGCGGGAATTCAATAAATATACATAAGCAGCTGTTATGGAGAATTCTAAAATTTACTCTGGAAGTGAATTGATGTGCTCTCAGTTTCTGCAAATTTATCATCGGAAAATTACCATTTTTTTCAATTAAGTGCTTTGAAGCTCAAAGGAATGCAGTCTTTACGTTGAAATGACGAACTAATTATACATCATTTAAAAACAAAATTGTCCGCTTTTTAAGTTAGCTTATCACATTCAATGTAATTGGCAATGACATAAGATCATTAAAACTGACTGGATACCGTCGGAATAACGAAGAAGTAGAAAAAATCATTAAGTTTAAGTAGTGCTATTCAGTAAATTATATCGATTCGATTTGTCGCCTTGCAATCTTGCGTATTCTGTCGCTTGCACAACCGATTATGCGATTCTCTACTAGCTAACCCATTTCTAACGATAGTTAACAACAGACGTTTCCTTTTTATCAAAATGGTTGCAATGTGGTGCCACATTGTGGTATGGATTACAAAGTTTACCAAATGGGTGTTCGAAGAAAAGTTAAATACAACAATACGCCAGGAGATTGAGAGAGAGTTCCTAATGTGTCAAACGAGGAATCTACTTGAGTAAATTTTCCATAGATGATGTGCCAATTTCCGACACTTCGCGTAGTATAAATTCGAAAAAGATCGCCACAGTCTCTGATGTGCATTGTGATGAACACTTAAATTTTTACTCTCTTCTTGATCGCTTGGGCTGAAAAACAACAAGTAATATTCCACCTTTTTTATTTACTTACTTACTTTACTGGTGTAGACAACGCTTACGCGGTTATAGCTAATTTAACAACATTGAACCATTCGTTTCTTGCTGTTTGGTGTCAATTGGAAATACCACGTACAGCCAGGTCTTGTACTGCATCTGCTAATTCATTCGCTGAACTATACCGTTGTCGCCGTATAAATCGTACAGCTCATCGTTTCATCGTCTGCAATATTCGCCGTTGCCAACGCGCAAAGGACTATAAATCTTACGCAAAACCTTTAACTCGAAAACTCCTAACGCCGTCTCATCGGATACTGTCATCGTCCATGCTTCC